GAATAGCACACACCTTCTCTTCATCAACATGGATGCACTCTGTACTAACGACAAAGCCTAGGAATACAAGGCTACTAGTCATGAAGTTATACTTTTTTAGATTGATGTACAACTTGTTCTCCTGCAAAACTGTTAGTACCTTTCTCAAGTGGTCCAGATGTGCAGTCTCGCTCTGGCTATAAATCAGCATATCATCGAAGTAAACTATAACGAACTTATCAATAAAGGGTTTTAATACTTGATTTATCAAACGCATGAAAGTGCTAGGAGCATTAGAAAGGCCAAAAGACATGACTAACCATTCATACATGCCTTCTTTTGCCTTAAAAGCAGTCTTCCACTCATCTCCTTCTCTAATCCGAATTTGATGATATCCACTCTTAAGATCTATCTTGGAGAATACTTTTGATCCAGACAACATATCTAACATGTCTTCCAGCCATGTGATAGGAAATCGATACTTCACGGTGATCTTGTTGATAGTTCTACTGTACACACACATGTGCCACTCTCCGTTCTTGTTCGGGACTAGTAACGCTGACACGACACACAGACTCATGCTAGGTCATATAAGGCCTTTCTGGACGAGGTCATCCATCTGCTTCTGTAAAATCTCTCCTTCCTTTGGGCTCATATAATAGTGTGGCAAATTTGGTAGCCAAGATCTCGGAATGAGGTCGATCTAATGTTGAACGTCTCGAAGCATTGGTAATTCAGAAGGAAGATTGTCAGGCATAATTACATTGAATTGCTGCAAGAGGGTCTATACTTCAAGTGGAATTTTGGCGGTGGCAGAATCCTCTTTTCCCGAAACAACAAGAGCATAAACCTCAACGGATTGTTTCACATCTTTCAAAAAGTATTCGTTGTCAACGACCAAAAAAATCTTTTTTTCAGCAACATTAGTTTTGACAGGCCCCTTCTCAGTTAGAGACTTGAGCGCAATTCGTCGACCATCCTTCTTAAATATATAAACGTTATCATTCCCCCTATGCGTGGCATCAACATCAAACTGTCACGGTCTGCCTAACAACATATAACATGCACCCATCTCAACTACATCACACAATGCCTCATCGATATAAGTTTGGCCAATGGAAAAAGATACTCGACACACCTCATCAACCTACACATCATTACCCTTACGAATCCAACCGATCTTGTAAGGAGCGGGGTGTTTCTCCATCTTCAAACCTAATTTCTCCACCATGCGCCAAGAGATAATATTCTCACTGCTCCCACTATCAATGATGACATCACAGATCTTCTATTTCACTGTGCATCTCGTGCGGAAGATGTTATGCCTCTGTGGTGGTTCTTCTGTCTTTGGGGATAATAATAGTCGTCGTACAACACATGAGAGTTGTTTCCCATCATCATCAGGATCCAATCCACCATCATAGTCTTCAACATCGTCTTGGTCTACATCATCATCTTCATAATCCACCATATTCACAACACCTCTTTTAGGGTACTGATTGTATCGATGACCAGGTTGTCCACATCTATAGCACTTGATCGGGTCAGGCTTGGCATATGGGTTTGGTAGTGTAGTCTTCTTTGTCGTTGTTATCACTGGACCCTTTGCCTTCTCCATTGTAGCATCTTGATCAGAAATAATTTGAGACTGTTTATTCCTACCATGATTAAAGCTCGTGCGTGACCTGTCGGAAGCTACCCATGATCATTTACTATTTCTCTGAGTTGTCACTCCACCTTCTCGGCTAGGCTAACCATGTCTGCTAAGGTATAGGTCTACTACAAAGATACACGATTCTGAATCGCCATCCTTAATCCCCCTATATATCGAGACATCTGTTGGGCCTCGCTCTCGTTTAAGTTGTTGCGGGATGACAGTCGATAGAACTCATGCGTGTACTCATCCACAGTTCTTCCACCTTACTTACAATTCTGGTATTGTCCAAATAAAACTTGTTCATAATCACTTGGCAAGAAACAGGCTCTCAGTAGTTTCTTCATCTTTTCCCATTTTTCTTGATGAGATCGATTCAGACAAACAGATTCCCACCAAGCTGAAGCTCCACCTTTGAGTCGGTAGGCCACCAATTTTACCTTACGCTCTCCTGGGATCTCTATATACTTAAAGAATCTCTCTACTTTTACAATCTAGTTGAGGAATTCTTTGATATGAAGTTGCCCATTGAAAGATGGTAGATCCATCTTCATATTGAAACCTCTAGCGTCATAATTATCCCTTCGTTGATGGTCTCTGCGATAAACACCACGACGTGGGGCTGCATAGTTATCTTCGCCGTTTTCGGATTCATCATATGGAGTCGGATCACGTCGTTGGTGACCATCAACGTGATTTTGAACTCCCGCCGTGTTCTGACGCTCTACTATCGCCGTAAGTCGCTTCATGACAGTCTTCATCTGATTTTCTGGTATTGTCCAAATAAAACTTGTTCATAATCACTTGGCAAGAAACAGGCTCTCAGTAGTTTCTTCATCTTTTCCCATTTTTCTTGATGAGATCGATTCAGACAAACAGATTCCCACCAAGCTGAAGCTCCACCTTTGAGTCGGTAGGCCACCAATTTTACCTTACGCTCTCCTGGGATCTCTATATACTTAAAGAATCTCTCTACTTTTACAATCTAGTTGAGGAATTCTTTGATATGAAGTTGCCCATTGAAAGATGGTAGATCCATCTTCATATTGAAACCTCTAGCGTCATAATTATCCCTTCGTTGATGGTCTCTGCGATAAACACCACGACGTGGGGCTGCATAGTTATCTTCGCCGTTTTCGGATTCATCATATGGAGTCGGATCACGTCGTTGGTGACCATCAACGTGATTTTGAACTCCCGCCGTGTTCTGACGCTCTACTATCGCCGTAAGTCGCTTCATGACAGTCTTCATCTGATTAACATCGACCTTTAGCACGTCAAACTCAGTTCGAGTAATAGGGGCTTCATCACCTGCCATTAGATCGGAGGGATAAGGCTCTGATACCAATTGATGTTGCACGGAAGTAGTAGTCTCGGAATCCACCAAGGACAATATTTGAATCCATGAAGAGCTTCTAATCCACAAAGTAAATATTAAAGAAAAATATAATTTTATTAATTAAAAGTTATGCCTTTAGGGTTTGTTTGGGTCAAAAGTTGCTTTTTCATTGGTGACGAACTCATTATAATTTCAGCCATTACAATAAGTTCAAAAAAGAAAGAAAGTCGATCTTTTTATAAGATCTCCTTACACAACGAAAATAAAAATTATAATTTTATCAAACAAGACACAACAGATGTTTATCGTTTGTTGTTTGCGTGGGAACTTCGCCTGTGCCAGGGACGATGATATTCGTGGACCGCCACGTATCAGATCCGGTTGATAGATTGATAATCAAAGCTCCTACTTCACGAAGGAAGTATTCGCAGAAGCGACAATCACGACCAAACGAGATTGTGGCTCTTTTCGGGATTAAGTCCAAGCTTAAATCCGGAGGAATGGGGTAGGGGGAAGGTGGCTGATTTGCCATTCTGGTGACCGATGAGCGTGCGGGCCACTTGACGGTGGTCGGTGAGCACGCGGGCCATTTGGAGCTGGCTGACGAGTGCGCAGGCCACGTGGAGGTAGCCGGTGAGCGCATGGGCCACTTGGTTTGCCATTTTTGTGGCCGATGAGCGTGCGGGCCACTTAGCGGTGGCCGGTGAGCACGCTGACCACTTGTCGTTGGCCATTTCGGTGGTTCGTCACCACGTCATTAATGGTTCGCCGATTCGCTTCATGCGCTTGTCGACGTCAGATGATCCTCTTTGACTCGGATAATCCTCTTCGACTTCGATAATGACGTTCATCATCTTCTCTTTGTCTCGAGTTGTGTGTGTATACCTATAGGTATTTTTAGACGCCTACATGGCTTACAAGACTCTACTTAAATAGAAAAAGAAACAAGACTTTTACAAGGACTCAAACTCCTACAAGGACTTAAACTTTACCAAAAATAGTAAAAGAATTACTAAAATATCAAAACTCCTCAAAAGACTCCTTATGACTAGGAAAGTCTACCGGTCAAATCTGAGATCAAATCAGATTTGTTTCCTAATCAATACAGATTCCTAAAACATTACTAAAAATAATAAAAAACGAACAAAAATGCAGATATCTCTCAAACCGTAAGGAATTTTGCGAAACGGAGGAAGCAAACCGAACCCTTACAGGATGGTTTGGTTGGCTCCGTCTCGTCAAGATAGTCGATTTTCATATATAATTCGTCCAATTCTGACGTATGGTTTGAAAGTTATGGTCGTTTCTTTGTAGCAAATTATTTTCCTCGACCGGGCCCGCGTTTGAGCTTGCGACTGTCCCACTTTGACATAAACATGTCTGTCGTGTGTTCTACATTAAGATCACATATTGAGGTTAATCATGTATTCATGTGTATTAGGTTCTAAATGTATAATAATGTTCCACACCTTATTTATCGTTTCATTTTTTACATTGTTTTTATTTTTATTGCCTCACCATTAATACTGAACCTACTCAAGAAGGCAAAATCGTGGAATTTGTGAAACAAAGAACTAATCCACTTCGCTTTTGATATTATATGTTTTGATTGAAGCAGACTCATTATTGATCCTAACTCCATCCACTTTATAACCAGAAAAATGTCACCTTTCAGAGTTACTATATTGTACATTTGGTCCTATAATTTTCAAGGTAAAATATCTGGCTACATGATCAATTCAATTGTTCCATAGTTCTAAGCATAGATGATGGCTTGATTGATTGCTTGATTGCAAAATATGAAGTGTTAAAATATTGAAGATAAATCATCACAAGACTCATCCGGATTTATCAACCCATGTATTTCTCAATGTACCTGTAGTTCTGTGGCTTGACTTGTTCTAATACATTTGAGAGGCCAAACCCCTTCCTTCTCCTATTTCTCCTCTCCCTCTCTCATCTCCCTTCAACAATTCAGCCTCTTAAATCTCCTCCCCTCTCTTCATATACCTTTTCAAATCTCTCATCTATCCTTCCTTCTTTAATAACTTCGCCTTTTCGCAGAGGAAAAAAAGGCGAACCATTTCCAAGTCATTACATTAATAAGATTTCTACAAAGTTTTCGCTGGCAAAATGTCGTTCAGCGGAACTCAGGATAAGTGCACGGCCTGCGACAAGACCGTGCATATCTGTGACTTGCTGACGGCCGATGGTGTTTCTTATCACAAAACCTGCTTCAAATGCAGTCACTGCAAGGGGAACCTGACTGTAAGTATAATGTCTTCTGTTGCTTTTTCATGTTCATGCCTTGCGTTTTTTCTGTTACTCTTTATAATTACATGGAAAAACTTAGTCAGAAGGTGTAGTTAATCGCAGCTAGGCCCCTGTAGTTTCATTATTTTGAACTCGTACCTCTCTAGTTTTATTTTCGTACGAAATATTTTGATTCTCTCACCCTCACGCAAGGAGGAAATTGTTGTTTTTTGACGAACAGACCTTGTGAGGGTAAAACAGTCTAAATTTTTTTCGCTTTGCGGGTCTATCTTCGAAAATAATACTAAGGGAGTACCGGGTCGTGAAATTAAAGACAATGACTCTACAGGCACAGATTGAGGGTGTATCTGCATGCATTAAAATATCAATGTGATATTCATATAGATTACCTATTATCCTTAATTTTGACATAAAACTTGTTGATTTCCATATTGCAATAACAACAAACTATGAGATCAGTAAAAAAATAAAGTAATAGCATAGGGATGATGATATTGCTCATGAATGTTGCAAGCTTTTAAGCCATGTGCACATGTCCTCAGATGTGCAACTACTCATCAATGGATGGTGTCCTCTACTGCAAGCCTCATTTTGAGCAGCTGTTCAAGGAGACCGGGAGCTTCTCTAAGAAATTTCATACCCGTAAGCTAATTACGTATTCTTTTTGCTGGCATGCATCTTAATATTAATTTCACATATTAACCTTTGCTCTTTGCTTTATGTGGTTTAATGATGCCCAGCACCGAAGTCCGAAAACAAAGAACTGGTATGTTAATGTGAAATTTACTATTCTGGGTTCATATGTAATTAATCTCATAAGCTGTTCATCGACCCAAATGAAAATTTACAGTCAAGGACACCGAGCAGAGTCTCCACCATGTTTTCTGGAACGACAGAGAAATGCGCCGTCTGCAAGAAAACTGCTTACCCTCTCGAAACGGTCAGTCTCCATTCTTATCGTAAGCATGATAAAACCACATTTAGTGCCTATAAGTATAATGGTGCAATAATCATGTTCAACTTACATATATATTGTAATATTAGAGTGGTGCATTACAGTATCTAGAAAAGTTTGTATATTCACTAGTCGGGACACTAGAAAAGCCTTCTTAAACTTTGAGGGGTTTTGCACATAACCCCTGAAGTACTTCTTTTGTTACATAAACCCCTTGAAAACTTTTCACTTCCGACTCCCCAACGTAACCGTCAAGTCTAACATATCGTGGGACCGTGGGTCAATCACTAACCAACGAAAATACCTCCTCAGCCGTAAAAAAGTTAATTAAAATAATCAAAAGGATAAAATTAACTGAATTAATAGTTAATCGAGTTAAATGAAGAGGGGGAAATAGGAAAATTTTAAAGGGTAGGTTTGTACTGTTCTATTGAGAGAGGGAGAAAAGTTTGGGTTCTGGCTTGTTATTTTCTAAAAAATTGACGGTTTAAATATTAGGCTTTGCTTCGGTGCTCCTAAAATCGTTTATTAATTTATTTTAAAAAAAGGGTAAATTTGGAAAAACAAAAAAATCTTCGTCCCCACCAATTTCTCATCCACAGAATTCCATCAAACGCGTATAAATCCGTTTAAATAGAATCATAGGTGAATTACGCTAAGAAAATTCCTCAATAAAGATATCAACAAGAAATCTAACATGTGATTGAATGCGATACAAAGAAATTGGATCCGAAGAAAATCGACCATCAACCATGTTGATGAACTTAAACAAAGCAACCATGTTCATTCAAAATCTCAGTTGTTTAGTTGAAAATTAATCGAATGAAGGTTCCCAAGGCCTAAGAGAAAGCCAATTAATTAATGCCGGGCTCATACATACAGTTCCTCCATGCAAAAAGAATTTATTTCCAGTCAGATTGGCCCGGTGGCGACACTCATGATCTCGGGCTCAATACTCTAGAGAAAGAAGACGCTCATATGAAGTATTTCATAGGATCGATGACCATATCAAAAATTAAATTCCATTAGGTTTGGCCATTCGCGCAATGAATTAGGGAATTGGAGAAGAAAACCACGTCAAAAAAATAAAGACTCCGGGAGTTTTTCATTAGTTGGAGAATTCTAACTACTTCCTATTTATTTTCTTATTTATACTTCCTAAAATAACCTTTTTATCTAAGTGAAATTATTTTTTTGGGTATGGAACTACTGTTAACTACCTTATCCCTCAAATTTAGGATGTGAGAGAGATTTTTAAGGAAACAAACTATACCAACTGCTTGAGAGCACCGAAGCTGTTGGCTTAAATATTTCCTCCTGCTTTTATGTCCGTTAATGATTATAAATGATCCCTATCAAATTGTAGCTCACCGTGGAGGGAGAAAATTACCACAAAACCTGCTTCAAGTGCTCTCATGGGGGGTGCACACTCACAACATCAAGCTATGCTGCGTTGGATGGCATTCTCTATTGCAGGCATCACTTCGCTCAATTGTTCAAAGAGAAGGGAAGCTACGATCATCTGATTGAAGCTGCTCAGAAAAAACGCTCGGCCGACCCGGTCGTGCCACCGGAAATAGACCTTACAGACCCAGCAGAGCCGGAGCCAGAACCCGAGTCACAACCAGAGACCACCCCAGTAGAATCGTAAAGAGGATTTTACTGATCTTGTGGTTTTTATCGACATTTTATCGCGAATTGCGTATTTGTTGGTTGGTTTATATGTAAGTTGTGAAAGTTATGAACAGGGAAAAAGTAAACCTTGTACCGAGACTGTACTCATGTATTTTTTTTTTCTTTTCTTTCTTGTAACATTGCTAATTATTTCTCTTGAAGGTTGGTATTATTCTTTGTTATTTTTTGCTCTAGCGTATGGCCAATCACAGAGTGAATTGGATTAATTTTCCTCTTGGTGAATTGGTTTAGGGCGTGTTTGTTTCAAATCCTATAATTTTAGGATATGGATTTCATCATGTGATTTAAAATCTATAGGTGTTTTGTTATGAGTTATGATTTCTAAAATGGTGTTTATTTCATTACTATTTTGGGATTTGGGATACTACAATTTGTAATATTTTGTTTGTTTCAACCTCAAATTGTAGCATTACCAAATGCCAAAATTTTGTAATACGATGAATATGCTATCTTGGTGAAGTTACCTCCGACAAAAAATAAAATTAGGAATTGTCAAATCCTCTCCAATTGAGAGGTAAGCACATCCATTTATGGGATTTGTCAAAATCCTCTCCAATTGAGAGGATTTGACAAATTCTAAAAATTAGGCACTTTTGGGATTCAATATTCTAAAAATTTTCTTAAAACAATCAGGAATCCCAAAATACCAAAAAACTCACTTTTTGATCTCAAAACTTGTAATCCATACCAAATGCCAAAAAATTTTGTGAAACAAACACCCCCTTACAGTACGTCATTTGTATGAAGAGATATCTCCCAGTAATCAAGGTAGTGGAACTAACCCGGTTGGCTAAAAATTTGTGCGGCAAAATTTATTCGCGATTAAGGGTCAGTTTGTTTTGATTTTTTTGAAGAGGAAAGCTTGTCAAAACTGTCAGTTTTGACAGGCTTTCTTGCTGTTTGTTGGAAAATTTGTAGTAAAAAGACAATAAAAGAAAATTGACTTGTATTCTCTCAAAATCAATTACAATTTGGATTTCCTGATTACAAAAGAGAGGAGAATGATCTGGAATCTCCCCTTTGTTTAATTCTGGGTTCTTCACAGTGGCGATGGAGTGCCTCCCTCGAATGCTCGCGTCGAGTTTGCTCTCCGTTGACGATCCGAACGTCTTGTTTCACTGGAACGTGGTCTTCTCCTCACGATTTAACGTTGTGGAGAACTTGCGTGGCAAATTTGAAAATAACTCTTAACGAGTTAATAACTTAGAGCGAGTTTTAGAAGGACTTGCAGAGCAAGTTTTGAACTCTGATCGAGTTGATAACTCTGAACGAGTTGATAACTCTGAACGAGATTGAAACTCTATGGAAGAGTTGATTTAACCGAAAGTTGGTTATAAGGCAAGGATGAAGAAGCTCCTATTGCCGATCTCCAAAATCCCAGCCGAAGGATGAAGGCTCTTCTTTGCTGCCGAGCTTCAGATCCAAAAAACCAGCCGCTCCGATCAACCAAGCCAGCCCTTGACCGAATCTCCCTCTGTTGATGAGAAAAATCCGCTCCTTTAACTCAATTGAGTTTCTTGTATTTATATGGGATTAAGGGTGGTAACTGCCCCCTTAATCCGCTCCTAAATGGGGCGGAAATCCCTCAAATCTTAGGGGGGAAACGGTTCCTGGAACTGTTCGGTTCGTGTTTGAACGAGTCAAACGCCGAAAATGGCGTTCTGGGCCCGAACTCTGCGTTTTAGACTAAAAACGCAGAGTTGGGCCTATGTTGGGTGGCTGAACGCACAGGCCGCGATGCGTTGTTAATCTGAAACGCAGAGTTGGGACACAAAGATGAACTCTGCATTTTGGACCTGAGACGCAGAGTTAGGTTATGCATGGACTCTGCGCTTTGAGTCCACGACCTCTGCGTTTTGACTCTGGAACTTCGTCTTGGCCTCTGCGTTTCGAGTTTGGAACGCAGCCACGACCTCTACGTTTCGAGTCTGGAACGCAGCCACGACCTCTGTGCTTTGAGTCTGGAACGCAGCCACGACCTCTGCGTTTTGAGTCTGGAACGCAGCCACGACCTCTGCGTTTTGAATCTGGAACGCAGCCATGACCTCTGCGTTTTGAATCTCAAATGGGTAACGACCTCTGCGTTTTGAGTTTAGAACACGGGCATAACCTCTGCGTTTCGAATCTTGGCTATAATAGATATCTAATTATGTTTAGAACACGGGCATAACCTCTGCGTTTTGAGTTTAGAACATGGGCATAACCTCTGCGTTTTGAATCTTGGCTATAATAGATAATCAAATGTTTACAACAGAAGCAGAGTGAATGCCCTCTTTGTTTTGTGTGGGGACTTTAGGTGGCTATAGGACGCTTCGCTCGATGCTCGTGTCGAGTCTGCTTCCCTTGGACCGTTTGACCGAGGTTGCTGGAGAGCTTCAGTACACAGTAGAAGCTCGAGTCGAAAGAGTTCGGGTCTGCTTAGTTCGCCGAAGATCGGAGCTCAGAACTAGACAATGGCGCTGTAACACAAGGGTTATGCGAACAGCTTGGTCTCAACTGCTTTTCTCTAAGTTTTTCGACCTCTCTCAAAGCTCGCTGGAAGAGGCTTTTAAATGGAAGAATGACAGCTTGACTTCTCCTTGAATTATGGGATGTGACCATACGTTGTTTGAAGACGTTCTGCTGTTCATTCGTACTGCCAGTGGTCATTCGAAGAGTTGTGCTCTGTATCACGTTTCGTAAGAGTGGGAAAGCCCCTCCTCGTATGCGTGACAGCGGCTGTCAGATGCTTGCGTAGATCTGACCAACCACCGAGCGTTGGCGGCTCTCGTCCCTTCGCCTGGACAACTGAGGTGAGCCGCATTTATGAGGGTGTAGGCTGCTTTGACACCTGTCTGCTCACTCGTACTGTAGGCGGCTATTCGGCGGGCCTAGAGTACCGTGTCTTCTCTCTAGGAGAGGCGGCGAAGTAGGTGCACAGTACTCGAGTGGGTCTAGCCAACTTGTCGAGTGCCGGCGGATCCAGCCCTTGACTCAGACAGCCGAGGTGAGTCGCATTTATGACTGTTCAGGTCGACTCGACACCTGTCCAGTCCTTCGTACTGTGCGTGCTGTGAGCTGCTGCTTGACGGTCTTGGAGTACTGTGCCCTCTCCCTTCGGGTCGAGAGAGATGGGAAGGCCCATCTCAGCACGTGGGGTAGCGGATACGGGAAGCCCTGAGGTTTGCCGGCAGATTCGACTTCGGACTCGGGCAGGCGAGTTGTGTGAAAGGCGAATTTCCGCTATCCCAATTAATTTCAACTCGTGCAGGTGAGCCGATCGTTAGGCGAACCTAGAATCGAGTACATTTGACGTCTACACGGTTTAGGCCCGTGCTAGAGAACTAAGTGTGCGAGTTCCTGAATTTCCTGTAAGCCCATGGAGGTATTTTTTACCGTCTACAAGAACCCCTTCAAAGTTTTCAGACCTAAACCGGCTCGCGTGTGGTCTGGAATACTTTGAACGAAGAAATTCTTGGCGAAGCAAGCGCATTTGATTTCTTTTAGGATTTTTAGCAAACCCTCAGCTATCAACGGGTTTGATGTGCCTTTACCGATTACCGTTTGAATCGGGCTAGCCATACTATTCTCCTCAGTATGATGAGTTGCTGAACAGTTTCTCTTAGGCTTAATACTAAGATTTCTGCTCTAACCCTTAGCCGTTTGAGGCGTGGGTTTAACCGTTTAAGCGAGGTCATTCTATTGGCTCCGTTTGTAATTTTACCTTTAAGGGTGAATGAATCGTCAAGGCGAAATTAGTCTTTGGGAGCCAAATTTCGTGCGACTCGTGGGGTCAGGCCAAGTATTCGCAGGCGAGACCCTCCCCTTTTTTGGGGCGGAACCAAATCTGATGGGAGATGAGCCACGTGTTTGCCGATAGGGCTTCGTGCTTTCCAACTAAGGTGGCGCGGTCTCGTCGGGTCATGGTGATCGTGATTTGACAACATGATGTCAGCTTCGTGTGTTTCGCCCACGACGTATCGTGGCCGTGGTTTTCGAACCAGGCCGTTAGATCAAGTCGAGGGTTTTGGTTCGGGTTTCGGGCTTTGACCTGCCCGTTCCCCTTTTCAATGGCTCTTTCACAACTGTAGAACGAGTTGTGAAGGATAATCTGGGCCGTCGATTTCGATCGTGGCCACGTCTCTTGAATGCGAGTGTCTCGCTTTGCAAGTGCCATCAGAGCAACGCAAGCCCTTTCGCCTTTAAATAGGTTTCGTCCTTTTCCTCTTTTTGAAAGTTACTGTGTGCGAAAATCTCCCAAAAGAGAAAGAATTCCCGCTTCGCTTCAATGGTGCCGAAATCCAAGAGGTGTAAAGTGAAGGGAAAGGGTCCCGGACGCTACTCCGACCGCCTGTCCGCCGGTGCGACCGCCGATGTGTCTGAGGCGCGCTCGGGTAAGTTGAGAAAGTTTGCTTTAACGTTCTCGTGTTGGTCACCGCTGTCATGCCAGGAAGATGAGTGCTGCTCATTTTGCCTTGGTGGGTTAGGCAGTCCCCGTGATTTTGGTAAAACTGCCCCTTTTCAGGCGGATTTTACCTTCATCCGCGTTGGGCGATTCCAGCCTTTATAGGTGAGATTGGTCTCTATTAGGCGAAAGTGAACTCGTCTTCTGACAGGCGAGTTCGACTTTCGTCTAGTAAAGGCGAACGTGGCTTATGCAAGCGAGTCTCGTCATGTCGGGCGAATTTCGCTCCTTGACAGGCGGATCTGCATCTGCCTCCTGATTTTTCTTGACTTTGTTTTGCAGCGACCTTTTCCGACCAAGCCCTCCCAAAGGGCGTGGCCACCGGCTTCGCCGAAGGTGAAGGTAATCCAGCGCCTCCCCGATTTCCTTCCTTGGGTCCGGTGCCCGTCTTCTCCGCCGATAAGCCGGTTGGCTCGACAAGGAGAGTCACCGATGGACACCACCTGACGCTACGAGTTGACCACTGACGCGGTGTTGACAGACGAGGACAGGGCGGAGCTGCCGAAGCCTCAGCTTTTGTTTGGCGATTCTGTCACCGATCCTTCCACTCTGCTGCTCAAGGAGAGCAGATGGTTGCGTATAGTGGAGGGGACTCACTATTACCTTCCCGTCATGCCGAGGGGGTTCTCGATCGTCGGGCTACGGTCTTTCGCGGTCCCTCGAGTAATGAATTGGGACTTGACCCCCACTCAGGACGGGGGCACCTGTGGTGTCTTT